AAAAGGAAAAGGAAAAGGAAAAGGAAAAGGAAAAGGAAAAGGAAAAGGAAAAGGAAAAGGAAAAGGAAAAGGAAAAGGAAAAGGAAAAGGAAAAGGAAAGAATACAACTCCGAAGAAGCACAGCCTAATTTTTGGCCCAAACACTCCAGCCCATTTTATTTCACCTGTATGTAACGATGTTCACTCGGCCCTGGTCGCTCAGCGCAGTGAGTGGGGGAGGTCTGGAGCGCGCAGGATTCCCGGCGCATCCCGAGCCGCACAAACGCTGACAATGCTGCCACCTAAGGACCGCCGGCGCCAACTCCAGCTCGGGGAGCGGCTCCCGGCAGAACCGCGCGGGCGAACTCGGGCTCCCGAACGGGCTCCATTCACCTGCTGCGCTGATGGAGCGGCTACTTGGGTTTGTCTAGCTCAATGCTTTTATATAATTTCATTAGGATCATCACACAGCAGCCTAACCTGCCTACAGAAATTATGAGCTGCAACTCCAGGCCCCATATGAACCCTTTTGCTCAATTAAAGCTAAGAAGCTTTTTATAGAAAGATTTTTTTTTTTCCTTAAAGCACACACAAGGAGCAATGGAGCATGATATGCCTTTCTTCACATTAAGGTAATTATGTAAAGGCAGTAACATTAAAAATACTTCCCGAAGTCCAAAATTTGCACTGCTATTGCAGATATTTAAGCCTGTCATTTAAGAGATATTGCCACAATTTTCCTATTCTATGGAAGAAACATGGGTGATTAGACCTAATGTGTTCAGATCTCTTCATGTCTCTCTCCTAATATTAGCACTTACTACTAAAATATCATGATAGTCTAGAAAACTAATCTTCTAAAATCTGTTGGAGGATAACCATCTGTATTTACACCTTTAATTTGGTCTTTTCATGGTATTTCAATTTTTAAATTATATATATTTCATATAATAAATCAGCATTGCTATTTTATTGCCACTATTGGCAAGTTCTCTCACTTTTCAATATTACTGTCCTAAGATAGTGCACCTAGCTGGAGTAAAGTAGCCCTTAAACAAATTTACTTCTCAACAAAATAAAATAAAATGAAATAAAATAAAGTAAAATAAAATAAAATAAAAATATTCCTCAACTAATCTGCCAATGCTTTATCATTATACATTAAATAAAGCAAGGTGAAAAGGGTGCAGTAGAGAACAAGCTGGCAGGCTCTTATCTATGCAGCCGCGGAGGGGCTGGAGACGACAGGAGGGTGAGCAAATCTTAGGTGCCACTTTCTACTCCCAAAGATATCTCTGCATATCACATTGCCATCACTGAACAAAATGCAGAAGCAGAAACCTGACAGGACTCAAAGTAGACAAAAATGGTGCTGGCAGACAGGCTCCAAACCAGATAGGATTTCTATACATTATTGGCTATCTGTAGATCCTTGGAGAACCCACAGGGGTTTTGAGCACCTTTCCAAAGTGACTGATGTTCCTAATGTGTTGTACCAGAACATTAAGGTAAAACATTATGCTATTTGCCACATCTTGTACATTTCAAGCATCAATCTGCAAAGTAGTCTGTTCTACAGTTACACACTGAAGAACTGACTGTAGTTACACGCTGTAGAATCCTCCTACATTTTCCATCTTTCCCATCTGAGCACTAGTCAGCTAACTTGCTATGATGACATTAGACCTTCAGTACTTGGGAAATACCCCAATTAAACTAAATTTTGTTCTCATTTGTTTTCATGCTACCCATGTACCAAAGGAAGGCCCTGATATAGCTAACAGAATCAAACTGGCCTTGGTAGGCAATGTGGAATGGAGAATCAATCTCATAAACTGAGTAAGAAGCACTTGAGAAGTTAGAATATCTTCTATATTTTCTTGAAAGTAATACCACAGTGATTTTTAAACATATTCGTTAGTAACTTCTTATTTATTATGCACATGCATAAAAGTGAGAATAAGAGTTATTCTATTAAAACCAATAGAAGTACTCCTGTGATTAAAATTTCATTTATGCTGAAATAGGGCCTTACATTCTACATACACTTCCATTCAATATGTGCATATTGTGAATATTAAATAATGTTAAATTACTCCCTTTTTCATAATAGAATCAGCTTGACAGTTACAATGTTCAAGCACTAAGCAGCACGTATTACAATGGCAGCTCCCTATCATGCAGTAATTTTCTTCCTTTTAATATTCTTGAAATTTAGCTCTCACAAGTAGGTGAAATGATTCTGTCTTTGAAAAGTAATTTGGCATGCTCCTTTAGACTAGTCAGTAAGACTCCACTCTCTCATGTATCAATGTCTTTGAGTAACATGAGTTTGCTGAGGCTTGCTGCTTCTCAGTTCTCTTTAGGAGCAGAACAAGGATGGATCCTAGATTCCCATTTGAGGAAAAATGTGTCACCACCTCCATCTTGACCACCACTGTGCAACCCTCTTTTTTTTTCTCCATAGTAGTGGAGTGGAAGTTTGGAAAGAGGACAAGAAAGCAAAACATTTTGCCTTTCACTTCCCATTACATACTGGGCGCTCTGGTTTTCTTCCTGAGCTTAAAGAGTACTAAAGTCACAAGCAGGAATCTTCACTGCATTCTTCCTGGGCACCATGTCAGGTCTAAGGTCTCCTTAACCATTTAATGAAGTCAGGAGTCCACAGATTTAGGAGGTGAAAGAAATAATTGCATGACTAGTTGTAGAACTAGTATATACTGAATACACCTCGCTTTCATTAATTTTACTACTATGACTTAGGCAAAGAAGACGGGACCAGTGAGAGTTCCTGAAAACCACTCTTTTAGGAATTAGGTATTGTGGCAGACAGTGAGAAACTCAGAAATTCTGGGACAAGGTCAGACGTTGTCTTTTTGCTGGAGGTGTCAGGATCCATGTGCAGTCTTCCCGGAGTACAGATTTCCGTGGATGTCCCATGGCTAATTAAAACCCCCTCTCTCCTCAGGGTATTAGAATTAGAATTTTCTACCTTCTGAAAGACAAAACACAAAGGTGAAATTATTGCAGTCCTGCTACCTGAGGGTTAGTAACTGTATTTCTGTAATTCAAACCAGATTTCATCTGTAAAGAATCTGCATTTGGAAGAAAAGATGCATTAAAAAAAATAAAATAAGAAAGATCAGGCATATCATCTGTGATTCTATGGGTTGTGACTTTATCTGACAGCTCACAGGAATGTCACAGTAAACAGCAATCCAAAGAGAATAATAGATTCATAAACATTAAAGATAGAAAAGTCCATTTTGTAATGACTCTTTGTGGTAATGCACTATTATATATTAGGCAATCTATTGTTTTCCCCCATGCTATTTTTTCTCCAAATTTACATTCTTCATAGATTTTTATTTAACAGGTCTAAGTTTATTCAGACTGCTTTACCAGATAATAGAACAATTCTGTAATCATCATCCTTCTCTGAAAAGATTACTTCATTGGATTTCAGAAATTTTTAACTATATTTGGTTTAGATTGGGTTAAATGAAAATAAAATAAAATTAACTTAAATGAAACACTAATTATTAGAAACTGAACACTGTGGCTAGGAAATACTGAAAAAGAAAATTCTTCCATTTATGACTCATTGTTTGTAGGATTAGCAACTCTTTTAAATACTAGCTTGATTTAGCTGTAACAAGTGCATCAATATAAATATAATAGGACATTCCTAAGGGGAATTGCAATTACAAAGAAAATAAATTAAAATTCCATATTTACTACAATAAATGTTATGCCAAAAAATTTTATACCTACCAGAAACACAGAAAATACTATACCCAAAGCTAGAATACTGTTCCAGTACAAAGCATGCCTAATATATAACCTCCCAAATACACAGTATATCCCTAGTAAAGATATAAATTATGGTTGCAAATGAGACCACAAACAAAATTTTGCTCAAGGCATGAATCATAAATTCAAACAATAATCATCTCCTGCATGAGGCACAACTACTTTGTTTACTTCTTATACCCTGTTTCCTAAACATGAAGATGAAAGTAGGTCAAGTAAATTTAGCATCTTTTCACATGAAGTATGTTATGATAGCGGGTGGCACAGCCTAATTTACAATTACATGAGTTTACATGAATATGAAAATATGTGTTTTCACTGTGCTGTGTCATTACACATATTGACATTTTACTCACAATGACACAGAATCATAGAAAACACCAAAGATTTGGAGTAGGGAGGGAGCAGAAAGGGAAAGAAATATTTACCATAGTTGCAGCTTGAACAAAATATCGATTTATTAGGAAAGAACTTCACATGATGTTGAATGTTATTTTATAACTGCTTGCAGGTATGTTTATGCAGTGAGTTACAAGGGAAGAGGAGGGAAACTGAGAAATAAACTGTTTCATTTACTTTCTAAAAAGTTTCAATTTTGTTGTACCTATTGAAATAAATGTTTTGGTTTATTATAATGATTTTTTTTCATGGAAGGAAGAAGGATTTTTGTGTGGACAAAGAACATTATTTCTGGAACAAATACGTTCCAAAAAAAGTATCTCATCAGTTGTGGATGAATATCTTGCTGAGACATTAGTCTATCAAGACTAGAATATGGCTTGTTTTGTTAAACTAAGCCTTCTTACTTATCCAACTTTAATGGAATAAAAAGAACGTCAAGCAACATAAATTCTCTTTTCAAAGAAGCATCCTTGTCTGCATATATGGCTGGATGAATAAGCCTATTTAATAAAGAAAAGGAGAAGAATGAGAGATGGTCATATACCAGGAATTGCTTCCACATAAATCAGTAATTTTATCACATTAGTGTTTAACAAAATGCTGGATTCTAGTATGCATTCATATTGTCCCAAGTCTAAGTCCATCAGAAACTGCAAAAAGAGTGGATTTCTTATCGAACCACAGGGTTTAAATCTTCAACTCTACAAGGTACTCTGAAATTCATTCATGATCCAGGAACAAGTCACACATTTGAGGTAAGCATGAGGTGAAATGCTTCGCTGAGGCACAGACACTGACAACTTCCTGATCTAACACAGCCTGTTTCTTAAAGGGTGCTGAATTCCTGAAAAAACTTGTCCATTTTAAGAGGCGTCCAATTCTAATTAGGTTTCATCATGATTTGTTGCATTATTTGAATATGACACAGTGTTTTGAAATTTGGAGTGAAGTGTTTTTGCAGTTGAGACCTTGTCTGCAATTTCAACCAAAATCACTTTTTTCCTGTCAAGTTATAAAATTCTAAAACCGGGGAAATATAGCTTAAAAACGTGCCTTTAAAAACAAAGGCAACAAATCTTTTCTTCTAGTTTGATCAGAATAATCCCAAATAACTAATGAGAAATAAAAGCATATGTTTACTGTGTTTGCCACAGTAAAACTAAACACAGATTGAACTAAAACTAAATGCAGATGAACTAACACAAAGTTTTGCAGTTTTTAAGACTTTCCCAGACACTACGAACCAAAACTCTCTATATATTTTAATGAGTGAATAAAGGTAAATAATATTACACAGTTGTATTATATTTCCAGTGTCTGAGTAACTTCAAGAAAGTATTTTATAAAGAAAAATTTTTGAAATCAGATGTGATATTCTGTAATATCTATCTTAAAGAAGATATTCTATTGTGGGCTCCTTCCTTTTTCATTTGCAATTGTTTTACCTATCCATGTCAATTCCAACAATTACTTGCTTAAAAGAAGAGCACCATTTGAATGCTGTACTTTGACTCCTTTTTGCAATGGGGCAGCTGAAAACAAGAAGAAGTAGCAACAAAAGCTGAGGAGCTGCTGGCTTTTTGGACAACATATTCTTTGCAAATCACCTTTTGAAAATCATAGATAATAGTGATTTTTTTGCATTGTAAAAAAATTCACTCAGCGTGTGTATTCACTGGCTACTAGACTGGCCAAAAGAAATCCTACTTTGCAAGTAGGAGAATTAAATCACTAAATAGCAAATAAAGTAATTCTAAATATATTTACCAAAGCTGCAGGATACTATACGTGCTGAAAAATGGCAGGAAAAAGTTATTCATCAGCTGCTTGCTATCCCAAGTTATTTGTAAATAAGAACTGACTCTGAGGCTTTGGAATAAATAATGGTATAGAGTCAGCACCCAACATACAGTTATGTGGTATTCACAGCATTATCAATTTAGTACCTTGGCAAAATAAACCTCAGTAAACACATGCTTGTCTGTGTTAAGAAAGCCAAAAGAATTGTGAAATGTGTTGGCATTTTTACTGCTGCTGACACTTGTTCACTAGTTACTCACCAAGATACATATTTCAGCCTGACCACTGAAAAGCTTTCAAGGGTGAACAGCTTTCAGCCACAGTACAGAGCTGTGGTTCTACGCTGCTGAAAGCTTGTATTTCACCTCTGTACTGAGTTTTGCATGTGTTCTAATTCCTTCTCCTTCCAGGATCTTTCCTAGCTTCACAAATGTCCTCATACAGAAAAAGTGCCAGAAGCAGCAAGCGTTAGAAGAGCAAAGGTTAACATTTCCTCCTATGGAAAACCATAGCAATGACATTTTACCCTCACAAAGCACTTGCCTCTCTGCAGCCTACTTATTAAAGTGCATGCATTCATGCTAAGTACCTTGATATCTAAATTCTTCTTAAGCCTTTTCTTTCAATAGAATACTCAAGTTTTCAGCCAAACCTGGCCCTGGTCAGTAACCCAGGAAGACAGATTGATGCAAAAACCTGCTAGTCTGGGCTAAAGTGCTGCCAGTTAAGGTGTAATGTCACCCTAGGGGAAGCAATGTATTCCTTCAGCCAGCTTGCAGATACTTAGAGATCTTCATATCAGACTTACAGAGATTTGTTTACCAGAGAGAATTCCTTTTTCCTTATTTAACTCACCAAAAGTAGTCTAGATCTATTTCTGGGTCAATAAAACCCACACAATTTCAAGAAGACATTTTCCTTGTCAGCAGATGAACATTGGACAGTCACAGTAGACCCAAATAACAGTGTCTACAATGACAATTATAAAGAATGTTTAATTTTGAGCATACAAATTTAAGCAACAAATTCCACATGGCTTTTCTAAAAGTTATATCTTGCCCTATAATGAAATAAATAAGAATAGATGAGTGCTCTACACTTCCATAATGCATTCCTCCTAAGCCCCTTTCATTAGGAATGTATTTCTGGGCTTACATTCAGCACAGGCGTGCTGGTTTTACACTAAGGGACTTTTCCAGAGAGTTCTTGGCCAGGAAATTATAAAATGTGAATTTGAAATTTCCATGAAATACTACTCTTTGATGTCTTCCCCATATCCACTTTTGTTTGTTTGTTTGCTTGTTCGTGTTGTTTTTTTGGTTGTTTGGGTTTTTTTAAGACCAGGGCTCCCAAATGCATTTTGTTGTAATGGCCTGAATCAAGATATATCCTTTGCAGGGCAAGAAAAGAGAGGAATAATTAACAAGTAAATATGATATACCTCACATGATCTCCAAGCAGAATTTTTATTAATTTTAAAACCAAATAAGGTGGGAGGGGGTTGGTTGGTTGGTTTGTTTGCTTTTTAATCAATATGCCTAAACCCGCAATACTTTGTGCATTTCTCCTATACAGAACACAGAACATTCTCTCCAGTCAAACAGAAAGGTCATATAGATAGTTATTGCCTGTGCCAAAGTGGTGACAGGCTAAACTAATAGGTAAGAACTTTTAGGTTGGATTACAAGTGAAAGTTAATGTTGCTCTATAGCTATCAAACAGGTTTTTTGCTAACATGTGAGAAGCTATGATGAATAACAAGCATTTGGGTACTTTCTAAGGGTCTAAGAGCTGCCTTTGAACAGACCATTGATGCTACTGAATAGTCAATGCAGCTTGATAAAAAAAAATGAAATTAATAAAGAAAGATAGAGGGGAAATATGGGAGAATTGAGCCATAACATATCTAAGTTTTGTTAATTGCAAAAAAAAAAAAGGACTTAATTTCTCAGGAGTTTTTAAGAAATATGGGTCAAATCCAAATGATTTCTGAAATATGCATATTTATAAAATTTATCAGGACACCTATTTGCTAATACAGCTTTGAATTCACACATTTTGAAAAAAAATACACTAGTTGAGTCATCTCATTATTATTCTTCCCTCCTTTAATCTGATCAGCAAATGTTAATAAAAGTGCAGACTACTTCTAAAGCACAAACTCCCAAAACTACTCACACTGAAGTTCTGAGTTTGAAGATTTAACTTACTGAAACAATAAGGAATGAAACCTTGTAACACACTGAGCATTAAGCTAAAGACAGGAACTGACCTTTAAAATGGCCAAGTGACCAAGCCCTTGGCATGACTGCAGAGGAGTGCAAGCAGTTTTTCCCACAACAGTAGCAGTGGTTATACATAAGGATGTTCAAAGTTTGTGTTTAAATCTTTTTTAATTTTCCATGTTTTTAAAGAAACCCCTATGGAATTCAGGGAAACTGATTACAATGAAAATCGAAAGTTGTCTGAAAACCACATCTTTTAAATAACTAGTCAGCTTTTGTCACACAGGAGTCACCTTCATTACCTGTGTCACCAGCAATTTACAAATCTTTCACACACCTGAAGCATAATATATGAGATTTTTATTCATATGTGGTATCTTCTAATGCAAATCTGTCTTCAGTGTAAAACCAGGGCTTCTGTGCTGTAGGTGGAAGGAAGGGTGAAAAACACTCTACCAACAGATAACCATCTGGCAGATTCCCTTTCTCTCTCTGCTATCTCCATGTGATTTTTATCACTTTACAAAATGTCATTAAGCAAACAGAGACGACCACAAGCAAACCTTTAGTTTCACAAAATCATGTTTTATAAACTGTTGAGAAACACTGACATGTAATGAAACCCTATTCCCTATATGTCTTCCTCTCTGTAAATGATTTCTTTCCCTCTCTCCATGTATAAATAAAGAGAAATGTGTCTGTGTATTTGCCATTTGGTCTTTTTCTTTTTCTTTTTTTTCTTTTTTTTTTTTTTTTTTATTTGGTCATCATAATCAAGGGCTATTACTGCAATAGATCTTATCTTTAGAATGGGAGTCCCCTTGCACCTTCAGTTCAGATTTTTGTTTATGCTTGGCTGCAATTGTGGCTGTTTCTGATAGTTTTAGGTCAGCCATGACAGACTATGGGTGACACTAAATAAACAAGCTGGGAGTCTGTGACTAAGAAGGAATGATACTGGTTCTCAGAGTTTGATTTTCTCTGGTTAATCAACAATTTGTTCAGAATAACTCATTGTGAAAAGTAGCTGTTTGCTAGACTACACATATTATGCTGTAAGGTCAAAAAAAAAAAAAATTTAAAATCCCCTCACAACTCACAAAGGCAAGCAGAAGGAACAAATCATGCTCAGTCTTGGTTTGGTTATAGTAGGCTGCAGAATTTATTTGTTTATTTAATTTATGTTCAGCTATTTCTTCCTGCCTCCTCCCTTCCTTCTCTCAGTTGCATTCCAAGGCAGTAAGTTGATCTGAACAGAGTCTGTCAGGGAATAGATAGGACACTTCCTTACAGCCTGCTCACGGGGGATAAAAATTCAATGACCAATTTACTAACTGTACTCATGGAAGAAGAGGTAGAATAAGATCCCATGAGAAGGGGTAAAATATCCCAACCAAATGGGTACCTGCTCCAGTTCTCTGGATTTTACTGTCTGTGTTGAATGATTTTACACATTTCTTACAACTCCTGCTTCTACAGTCATATCATTATGTCAGTTTCTAAACTCAGTTTTTATTCACTAATTTTTTTTAATGTATTGCTTGCCTCCATGGTCATAGAGGAAGCCCTTAAAAATGTGTACCCTAAGGCGGAAATGCCAACACAATAATAGTACTAAAACCTTATTTTTATGCATTTATTTTTAAACTTTAGGAATTTTAAGTCAGTCTTGTGATTAGGAAGAATATGAGAACAGACTCTTTTAAAGCCTGAGGCTGGTGATGCTGCCTACCTGGGATTATGAAAGTATTATAAACTCTCATTTTTAATATGATGTTTTTACCTTGAATAATAAAGATTCAAACTTGATGTAAATGACAAGAAATAAATTATTTTAATGCAATTTTCACTTGTTTAAAATTTGGCCCAGAAGTCCAATACAGGCTGAGAGTCAGCCATTGAGCTAGCCAGGGGTAAGCAGTGTCTCAGTGCAGTTTCTATTGCACAGACATTCCTTTCAAAAACCAAAGACATCATACTGCACATCTTCTTGCAAAACTTTCACAGATTAGTGAATAGTTAGAAAATCTACTGTACCTAAACTTCCATAGAAGTGGACTTTCTGACACTGGATTATCTGTTATGTGCCGGTAAATGAGAAGAAACTTTTGTAAAGAGGTTTACTAGCCCCTGGGAAGATGTAGGTGTCCTGTTTATAATCCAACTAACATGGCTCAGCGAAGTATGAACTAAACTATTTCTTAAGCACACCTCGGTCATAGCATCCTGATGCAACAACTAGTAGCTACCCAAACAAAAACATGGGATTGAATGTAAATAGTGTAAATATGTTTTTCTTGAGGCTTGCCTACTGCCAGAGTGTATCCTGATCCCATTGAAAACTAACTACCAGGTTATCAGTGTCCAAGTTTAACATTGCCTAGGGTTATTTTATTTTTAAATTGCTTCTATATCCACCAGAATCATCTCAGCTAAGCCTTCAACAACCCAGGCCTTTAGAATCAAACCTTAGCCAGCACTACTATGGTTTAATTAGCTGTGCATTTGCCTCCTGGCCAGATCCAATAAATATGCATGTATTGGCACAGCTGCATCTCAGCATGCATACTTAAATTAAAAATGTTTCCTTTGATGCTCTGGCAATCTTGGCATTCATTCACTTTGCCAGAAGCACTATCAAATCACAAAATACTTGTCCAGTCATCATCACAATGTACAATCATGAAAATGTGTTACCAGTTTAGCTGCTCATATTATGTGCGCCGTAACCTGAAATTCTTCATGCTTATGTACAGTTATGGAGAAGGATGCTCCCATGTTTCTCATGACTGAAAAGTATTCCCATATGCCAAATAAGATGAAGCTGGTCAAACAACACCTGTCTTCTATTGAGATTACTTGCACTAATTTATATTGAAAGTGTTATTTTCATAACTTCAGTTGCATTTTCTATTTAAAAGATGCAGAATTAATTTGTTTTGTTTTCTCCACTTGACATTAGCAGCTTTATGGAACAATGGCCTTGCTAGTCACTGATGATGAATTATTAGTTATTTTTACCAAAAAAAGGAAAATTGAATGTTATACAGTTTTTTTAAAGGCCACACTGAAAGGGTGTGCAGTGGGATACATTTCTTTCCCCTCTTGACCTCTCCACACTAAACTCCAGTCTAGTCACAGGAGCAGGGGAGGCAATACCTGTTAGACTGACATGTATACTTGTCACAGCAATAGGAATTTCAACTAACCTGAAATTACTAAGCAGCACAGTATGTGTGGGTGGCAAGGAATCTGAGGAATATTAGGGAAAAGGATCAGATCAGGGGTTGCAACCAGAATTCAAAGCACTTTCTTCTCTTCCTACTGAGATACCCTGGGAATTCAATAAATCTCTTCTATAAATACTTTACATGCTTCAAGTTCACAGTGGAAATCCATCAGCTTAAAAATTCGTGCTATCAGAAAGCATATAAAGAAACTAGATAAGTAGCCACTTTCTCTGAAGATGGTTAAGGACGGTTATTTCTTCTGAAATCTAGCATAACTGATGTTTATTTTTATACAAACATTAAATGTGGACAAATAAAATCCTTACAATGAGATCCTTCATCATGCTTATCAGGAATTCTGCTTGCAGACTGGGGAAAAATCTTTATTGAAACCATTGGCTGCTTGAAGTTTTTCAAATCAGAACACAAAAGAGAGAAATGAAACTCTCTTTTCACAGTACAATTCTCAACCTACCAGAAAAAAACCCAGATCTTACTCTTAGTTTATGGAGCTAAATCTACTATGGTAAAACCAGAACATTTACTGGTCACCACATTAATTAAAAATTAAAATCACTATATGTTAAAATATCTTTTAAAAAAATCCTGTGACACCACAATGCACATCTGCTAAATAACCATTGTTTTAAAAATCTAGTTTGCGCATGGTTTGATACCTCCTTAAACATCACTTCTTTGAAAGTTAAAAGTCCACTGGAGAGGAGATCTTTTTGCACTGAGATAGCAGGTAGAGACTTAGATATATCAAAGATATAATTGCCAACACTGAGTTTTCTCTTGAACATTAAAGTTTATTCTGAGGAAGAAAATGAAGAATATTCTTTTATGAGAAACACAGTTGGATTAGTGACTGAAAAATAAACTTAATTTTTCAGCTCACTTAAACTTTAGAAGTGCCAATGAACATTTCCATAAAATACAATGTTTCACAAGCCTCACATGTGCTGTGTATTATTGTAAATCAAGAACACCTATTTTTTAAGATTGTAAATGGTCCCATACTGAGTACTGAAATACTGAATGATGCTGGTAGAAAAATAATGAATAAGCTTTAAGGAAAACACCAGGATTTCACATGCAGGGTTTTGAATTTTTTCTGCTTCAAATTTTCCTCAAAATCCCAAATTTTAAAATTCATATTGGGAAATAAAATCCCAATTCAGGATAATTAAAATACTTTATTATGATAAAATTGGGGTTTCTCATTAATACAAAAACAGTGTAATGCTAAATTTTAAATACTATTTTCTCTGATACATAGAAAATTGATTAAATTTTTAAATAAACAGTTTTAAGTAAAAGAGCAAAAGAGAAAAATATTGGCTTCTTTGCAAGAAGACTTAAGGGAGAGAGGTTTGTTCCTCTGAACTTACTTGAAATGAGTTGAATTGCACTTTCTGATGGAAAATTTCCAGAGAAAATTTCTCATCCAGGATAAAAACAGGTGCTTCCTCTGAACTGTATTTCCATGTTTAGGTTGATTTTCTTGATGTTTTGTTGCTCCTGAATATACAAAATAATAAAAGAAATAATACATTCTTCAGGAATCTCCAGGAGGGTATTCAATTAAGCAAGCACCACTGATACTTCTATTCATGTTGAAATAATTAACAATTCCAAGGATATTAATGATGTATTGTATGGGTGTTTTAGACTGGATAGGATGAAAGAAAAAACCTTTTGGTGACTCTTGCTCCTACTAAAATTTAATTAGCTTTACTTGCTGACCTCATGTTTTATGTAACAGTACACTCCAAAAATGACCTCATAAATGGTTACTTAATATAAAGGTAAAGTCTTCTTCTTTTTTTTTTTTTTGTTTTACAAACCAGCACAGCATAAACAGGGCTTTTTTTAGGGTGCTATAAACTACTTTTGCAAAGTATTCTTATAATAGTTAACATTATATATTCCAGCGTTACCTGTGGGACCAACTAACTCTGAATTTAATTGAAGTCAGAATGCCTCACTTGGACAAGGTCACTTTTTAAAAGGTATCATTCACAAGATTTTTGATTTTTCTTTTCTGAACCACCTAAAATCTCTAAAATCATTGACGAAGAATTATATCTTTTCCATCAAATATTAGTACAGACAAAAATGAAAATGTTACCATTAATTGACATAAAATTTATGGATTATGATGATCTGTACTAAATCTGAAAGGCTGTACCTCACTAGTAAGAAAAAAAAAAGGCAACTGCAGACAAAGAATATCAGTTTTCAGTAGATACTTAATTGTTTAATTCAGTAGAAACTTAAATGTTTAATTTTGCAAATTTAGAGAGATAGGGTCAAATTCCTCCCTGATTTCACTGTAATCATTGTTGAATCTAGACTGTTGTTTTACATCCTTAAAAGAAGCAGAGGAAATGAATCAGATTAAAATCTCCAAGCAATTTGAATATCAGAATAAAAGATATGACATAATGTGTTTTGCCTTCATTTAATCACATTAAATAAGATAAATATAAGCGCTAATAAGTAGGTACTGAAACCAAAAGGTCTCAAGATGGAAATGGAAGCATTTTTAACAATAAAGCATTTAGCTGTTCAAACGTACTGTCAAAGATGAGGACAATTTTCAACACCTCAAAAAATATTACCAAAATTCATCTGAAAAAGCACAGCATCTGTCGGAAGTACCCTACAGTCTTAGATATTAGGAAAATCAGGCATTTTACATTGACATAACAGAATCCTTATAAAAGCCTGTTTTGAAAGGAAATATGGAACAATCTCTCCATCTGATATATAAAAGGAAAATCAAAGATGTTTTTGATTTTTTGCACTTTTTTTTCACAGTTCTCTCTTTTTATACTACTTCTTTTGTTCATTTTAGCAATAGAAAGAACAAGAATAAAGAGGAAAGGAAAAATAACTGGGAAATAAAGTAAATAAAATTAAAGACTGCAGGGAAATATTTTTAATACAATTGCTTTTCTGAAAACGTAGCATAAAATACAACATTTTTTAAAATTAGACTTTTAGCTGGATTTAAAAATGGAGTGATAATTCAGCATTCCAGAGAATGACAAAGAGAAACAAATTTCCTAGCTGTTTTACTAGAATAAATATGATGAAGAAATAATCCCCTGGGGAAGGTGTTTTCTGAAAGTCAAAGAAATTTTTTAATATTTTCCTTTCTGGTAGGATAATTTCACTTCATAAGTGGGTACCTAAATGCAATTTCTGAAAACATGCAAGTAACGCCTACTATTTTGCTACATTTTATATACAAAAAATAGACCAATGGGGCAGAAAGTACTGTCAACAACTAAAAACCTCATTTTTTGGACATCTTTCATTGCCACTTTTCATTTTTTCTGGGAGAAGAAGTCACATATATGTCAATATAGCTCCTTCTCAATCTATTTAAATCAGAGGAAGCATGGTTAATTTTTTAACTGAAGGGAAAGAATTCTCCATGGAAACATTAGAAATTGAGGACCTCAGATATTCAAACTTCCTTGGGCAAAATTTTAAAAATTGAGTCTTCTGTTAAGTGCATTTCTGTGTATTTCTAAGGCATGCACATATTTTTCAAGAGGTCAGGAATCTTCTAAGCCAAACAAATCAAAGAACATACCTAGGCATTGACACACATTGCAAACCATTAAACAAATTCCAACACACAATTTTGTATTCATGAAAATAAGTTATATTTTCATAGATGAAACTACTATATTTGATATTTTCTGAACATTATTATGTGCTTTAGGGCTAGTATCCATTAGTGTGTATACAAATGTGTGTTTTGCCCTGGACAAAACTTTGATACTCCTCTTGAGTAAAATTGGAGTATCAATTTTTCCCTTGTAGCTATGGGATGGCTCTAATGACCAGAGCATTTGCTGTGAAATATTGTCTACAGATATCTTTTTTAGAATAAGTAAATGTGGGGGGTTATATTTTATACAACAGCCTATAGGCATTTAAATATTTTTGAAGACAAAAACAACATAACAAACCTAAATATCCCCACAATGAGCTATACAAAAAAAGGAGTCCCAAACTTTCTAAAGTATCTTAATGAGGGTTAAAGGTCACTACTAAGTAAAACTGAGAAACAGAAAGGACCAGGATCCTGTTTCCATTTTAATGTCGCTCATGTTTATGTTTTGCTGTCGGCAGGGGAAAGGCTGAAACAATTCCACTTACAAGGAAGTTACAAACGGGCTGACTATTGCAGCTGGCTGGAAGAAAAAGTTTGTGCTCCGTAGGTCTAAGGTGAATGCAAGTTCACACAGACCAGACACGTGTTAAGCACTGGACTTATAGCTGACATTTCTCTGCAAATCCTTTCCTAGAACTTACAACCTAAGCTGTGGCCTGAATTCCAGTTCCTTTAAATTATGTTCCACAGACCCAAACCAATAACACTCAATTTTAATTTTAACTTCTTCAGCATTACTAAAACTAAAATTTCGTAGAGAACATAGAGAATGTTCAATTATAAAATGTGTTGTGCCTGCAATTAGCATAACATTAAAGAGAGGAAGATCTTAAATTCAAAGGTCCCTGGAATAGAAAATAAAAAAAATAAAATAAATAAAATGAAATAAAAAAAAATAGAAAATTGCTAATGATAGTCATCAAAGCAATATGGTGAACCTTGACCTGTCTTTAATCCCTTCTAAATTCCAAATCCTAAAAACAGACTGCTACTTTCCTGCATTTCATTTTAGTGTCTTGAAACCACCATTATGATTCTAAAAAAATATTTTCTTATTAAAAATGTATAAATTGCTCTGCTAAGCACATTCTGCTCCTACTGTCTAGAATAGTATGTAGTGTTGCACACTGAATTGTGAAAGTCTGTCTTTAATCAACACGTTCACCTTAAAAGCTATGGAGTGCACCAAAATCTCTTTTGTGGAATATAGGATTCCTTGGGAGACTAGTTCTCAACAAAGAATAGTTCTTGACTGAGATATCAATAAATGAGCTTGAACTCAGCTTCTACAGCGACAGCCACCCTCAATGATCAAAATCCAGATATCTTGGTAAAACATGAAATAATCACATTATTTGACAGGACAATTATACTTAAGTTGAGATCAACATAAACTGACTTCTATTCAACAAAAATGGAAGAAATCTCAGCAATCACTTTACTATGATCAGAAGATATAAAATGGATTTCTAAGTGGAAGAGATAAAATAAACAATCTAACTGTAATTATTGTAGTAATGATTCTTGAAATCCTGTACCATCAAATGCCCCTTAAATACTTTTTCTTTAGTTCTAGGTAATGAACAATACCCACAACTTCTTGTGAAAGTTGGTGTAAAAATGATATTCAAATAGGTTATCATCTTCAAAATTTATCAATTAAAATACTTTTGAATTTAAGAAATAATATTTTACTGGAGAGAGATTTGTCCACCGACTATGCAAACTTATCAACAGCAATATTTTTGTCAACAATTATGTCTGCCCTCAGTTACATAAGAAAGGTATTACTCAAAGGCCACCCATGCATTCCTGAATCACACTAAGCAGTTTGCAGGAACTTGGGAACACTAATTTAGAAACAATATTGTTCTTTAATCTCTTTTTCCTGGTAAGTGCAACCAATGAGACTTGCACTGCACTTGGTGTTTGAAGTCATCCTGAGAGACGGATAGGCCCAAACAACTACCTTGTCTGAAAGAAAAATAAATTAATTCATAAATCACAGAGAAAAAACTCAGTGAAGTAAAGGATAAATAATCCAACAGAACTTTAATTCCATGCACAACATGTCTCAACAACTGATAAACTCAGGCACCACCTATTTCTATTGAAAGGCGCTTCTGCTCTTGATAGCTTGTTTCTGTCTTGCCTAGCCTGGATTTCAGTCGGTGTGTTGCCACTATTCTACCGATACTTCTCATAAGGATGAACATCTACAATGCTCAAATTTGGTGAAAATTTAACATATAAAACAATTTATTAACAAAATAGCAGCTCAGAATGTCTTATTAGCAAAATTTTAATTTCCTTTTTAAAATGCAGTGATAAAATTAAAGCTCATGGAAATATCTCTGGGTACCCTCAGAACTTCTAATGCCAGAATGAGTAACTCAGCGATGGTCTATAAGAAAGGGCAGTGAAACACTGCCTGAGAGATGAATCATTTCTATAGTGTTCTGGCCAGGCTTCCTCCACTCTCCAGATATTTGCACACAATAAATACATATGCTCCACCACAAGTCTTTAAGAAATTTCAGGCAACCCAGGTTTAACAGATAGTTACATTACCTTCCATGAACTAGTGGAAGAAATTAGAGAAATAGAATTAAATTTCAAAGGGCATTGCACTGGAAACTTATTGACAAAGAAGCAAAATTACATATAAACCTTATGCAAATGAGAATCGTGAATCATAATTATACTATTGAGTTATATCTGACAATGCATCCCTATTAGCTTTGAGGAGGACATGCTCAAAATTAGATTTGCAGTTTGTTCAAACACTGAGGCCAAGCTCAGCAGAATGATGCTGGTATATCTATGCTGTGTTTAGTATACCATCCAATACCATCCAGACAGGCTGCCTACAGTATGCTGGTGACAGCTTTTGTGGAAGACAGAGAATAATGTAGACATATTCAGTGACACAGTTATTTAGTTAGTGTAAAACTGTCACAGCCATTGATTCCAACACATCTTTGACAATAAACCCAATCCAGGAACTTTCCAGTGTTGTTTTGGTATCCTGTTTTGTGATGCTCAGATGTTCACCACAAAATCCTGTGAACACCCTGGAGATAATTTCTCTTTTTTTCATAAAATATGCCATTCTTTGTTCTGTGGTTTTCACAGCTCTCAATGAAAGAGAAAAAAATTATCCTTTGAACCAGGTTCTAAACTCCTGAAGAAATAAATAATAATGGAAAGGACCATAGGCACCACAGGGAAAAAAACACTTCTAGCATTCCTAAAAGTCCTTTTACCATGTACTCCTACTTACTTTGTAATGATTGCATGTTTTCCCTTCGGGCCCACTAAAGTATTTAATTGCAATTACACTCATTTACATAGCAGATGAGGCTAATTGCTGGTATTAGTTACCAAATGTATGCTTGTATTGTGAGGGTAAAAAAATGCCCTACAGAAAAGAAAAACGACTATGCCTCTAATTAAGGAGCTATGAGTCAAAGTGAGCTTGTTCAGAGATGTAAATATAGAATCAAGGGCTTTCAGAGTTCTGCAGTACATTTTACTATACCACTAGTTCCCATATTTCAGAGATAACACTGGCAGACCTCGTAGTACATACAATGAACTATTCTCATTTTCTCAGAAGCAGGGATGATAAGTTCCACATAAAGGCTCAGATAGAAAGATCAGGATTTCTAAAATTTTTGATTAGAAATAAATGTGAATCTCATGTCAGAAATGTTCTTCGTCTATCATAGATACACTGAAGTTATTATTTGAAGCAGTTCCATCACCTATTCTTTTGGGCATATTCCCAGGAAAAGTCTTTTTTTCATATTATTCAGACCTCAAACTGTTTCATGTCAATGGACTTCATTTTGCATGCAATTGTACACAAGGACTTTTAAGATACTACACTACTAAAGTGAATGCAAGAAGCATCAGGTCAAGTGGAAACCCAGATGGATAATGATTTCAGCCTTTGGCCCTGGATATCATTCCTAATATAAAGAATTCTAAAAAGATTTGCATCTATATATCTATCTATATACAGAGAGAGAGGGTTAGTCCCGGATGGTGAAATGAAGATTTGTTAATTTTAGTTAGCTTCAGGAGGTCACAGTGAGAACAGAAGTGTGCCCATCAGTATCCTTTGGACAGGGTTGAAAAACTCCCTATACACATTTAAAAATTAACACTTTATCAAACTGTGCCTTAAATTTTTTCTTTTTCCTGGAATTGTACCAAAACTTGACAGCAGTTAAGCTGTGGGTGTGCAGAAGCACTACATATGATATTTACTATTATATTCCTTTAGGTAGTTTCCCATTAGTCTGCTATGCTTTGCCTGTGTTTAAAACTGAAATTATTTTGGTTTTGGAATTTGCCACTTTGTCTTCCAATTTCAAGTTTCAGTCTTCCACCAAAGAAAAAAAATGCCAGTCCCATGCAAAAAAAATTTAATTCCTTAAAAAAACCTTAAAAAAGTGAATTTGATTTTCTGTTGCCTTTCATGTAATATAGTATAAGTACTATGTAGTATACTGCCATTCTCATAAAGACTTTAAATTATAAAGGGCTGATAAAAATGAGCAGCTATTGCTTTTGTTTTATTAGTTTTGTAATTCCTAAATGTTGCTTTATGCTAGTTTTAGATTTATCAGTGTTTGGTTACCTACACAGGTCATTTAATAAAACGAGACTGGCTATGAGCAACATTATCAGCTGCTCTATATTTTCTTTCCAAAAAGAAAAAGAAAAAAGTTTTAAACCCCCTGAAATACATTCCATGCATGTCAAGGTCTATGCCTTCTGAGTGCCTATTCTTGTTAAAAATATACCTTTGTAGGACTAATCCCAAATGGTTTGATGACAGAGGTCATGCAAGTGTCATTTTTCAAACCTGTGTGAAAATCCATTTTGAGCCATCTTTCCCTCTTATATTTCACCTAATTTCTGGAGCACTTATGCAGCATACTTACTTAGCTAAAGCACAAAATGTAAACAGGACATCCTCTCAGATAGGAGATCCCAACATGTTGAAAAGTGTATGCCTTAGTTCTTAATCAGTTCTGGAAAGTATCCCAAGACTTCCACAAAAAGATACTGTTTCTGTTAATGTGGAACATAAACTTAGCCCTTAACATAAAACAAAACCAAACAACATCTGTCCTTACAGTTTGATTGTTTGTTCCATCCCAGTATAATTATTCTTGCATGACAGCAGCCCCTGCAGGCTATAGCCTTGCTTACTCTACTTTGCCCTGAAAGCACGCCCAGCATTTAGAGATGAAAACACTGTCAGAACTAGTGAACATTGTTTTAGAAATGCTTAGTGCTACAGCACAGTCACATTTTTATAATTATCTGGGATTTTTTCACATAGAATTTTGTCAATCCAACTTGACCAAGACAGATTTGTGCTTCCAAAAACCACAGGTCTCTGAAGAAATCTCTGAAGATTCCAATGGGAAAAATGGTCATGGTGTAGAGATCAGTTTTTTACCCTTCCTGTTCATTCACAGGAATAAGGATTTCCTCTTATGTTTAATCATTTTTTAAGACTTCTTTGCAGTTTTTTAACCAGTGGCTATAAAATCTGACATGGACATAAGAAAGCATGGAGGACATGCTCTAGTCACTTCCCGTGCAGGCAGTGCAAAGACAGTAGAAAGCCAAAATGGGAAGCAAATGAGCTTCCAAAACAAAAAATGACTCAAGGAAGGAGGGTACACATCAGAAGAGTGCTATTTCTCCAATTATACTAACTTTTATAATATTTTCAATGGACTTGGCACTAAAGCCATATGCAGCTTCACCCAATCCCAGTAATAGGAGCTAGTATATCCCTGGCTGAACACATAACTTTCTCTGGATCTGGATCTGGATCTGCAGAACTCCCCTAGAGCAGTACTACTTTGTCATAGCCACGAGGCTGCCTCTTTATCTTGAGGGATATATGGTCTGCCTGGAAGACTGTCAGATCTAGTCAGGTATGAAAACTTGGTCCTGCAGGGATCACAATAATGTAACCTAATCAGAAATCACTAACACTAGAGACAGATTGTATCTTGTCTGCACTCTCTCAGTGGCGTGATTCAAATCCTAGCTCTGATCACACAAGACTTGGTTAAAGTTCGCAGCTAAAGAGCTGACTGAATTATCATTGTTACCTGTGTGCCTGATCATAAAGTTGCAAAGGTTTTCTGCTATAAACATCATTATGGTAGTAGTTGTAGCCCTTCCCCATCTTTTTCTATGCTGTTCACACAGCATGAAAAAGTGACACCCCTTGTCTTCGTGCTAAATGTGGAAGTTCATGGCTCCTAGCATGTCTAGTTTCCCATTGATAGGTTTGTCTTTTTTGAGCTCTATGGAGTTGGTGAAATGGCTCTCTGAGTCAAAGTACTTCTCTCATTTCATACAGTATTTTTGCTCAGAACCCTCCACACTTTCTGTGATCACAGAGGCTGTGATTTCCTTTTTCATTTTAGAGATCAGTTGCACAAACATTTCAAGTATAAAATTTAACAAACTAAAATAGAGAATTTTCAAAATGAAAATAGTTGCTTTAAGATCAGCAATCTGATCCTAAAGTTTGTTTATTTTTCAGCAAGGAAAAAAAAATCACTGAAACTTGAGTTAGCTTCACACACAGTCTGTGTGCCTAAGAAATTGCTTTAGAACAGGATGGAACTTTTGTTAAGGGACCAGATTTTCAGCTTTCCTCATAAAAGTATACAAAGGAAGACTTACCTCTAAAGACTCATGGCTCCTAGGCAGATTCCTCACAGTAACAACTTTCCTTTTGTAGGAGACCCACTGTGAAGAGAAGAGAAGCCACAGGTCACAGTTAACAGAGACAATAGCCCCAGAAGTCTCTGCCAAAATTATACATTAATCACCTAGTCACTACTTTTTTCAGCAATGACCCAAAAGTTAGCAATAAAAGTTATTAACATTCCGTGCCTTCTAAAAGCAGTGTTGATTCTATCTCTACGTTTGCCCTTGTAATGGAAGGAATGCTGTTACAAGTGAATAGTCCTCAGTTTTTCTCTCCTCTACTATTTATCTATACTTAAAAGCAGATCATGGGATTTAGAGGGCAGATGACCCACAAGCTGTAGATTGTAGTTCATTCACTTCTGTACGAGCTCGGGCTTAACTCATTCAATATTGCCATAGTAGGTCTGTGATGTGGAATGAACAGAAAAACAAAGAGCTGGAAGAATGTAAAGATTTGGCACTGTCATCTTGAAATTTGTTGGTAGCCTAAGTGTCATTGTGCTTTTTAATGATAATTTCTTTGTCAGTCTTTAAAATTTCTGGCCTTTCAATTGCAATATTGCACAAACTAGCCCTCTTGAAACACTCTTCGATGTATGCTATTGGTAGGGCTATGACACCCCAAACAAGCTGCTGTTTCAAAAGTGCTGTTTTTGAAAAAATAAGAAGAACAAAATAAAAGAGCAATTTGATTGATTGTTTGCTTAATCAAAGAGCCTAATTATTTTAAATTTCATGGTTTTAAGTTCTTTACATATCTGTCAAGTCTTCATCAAGGGAATTATCCCTGTCACATCTCCACTGTATTTTTGCCATCATTTGTATTCATTGGTTCATCAAGAATTGGGCACACAGTAAACAGGACTTGTAATATCTGAACATCTACTAATTAGCAGGGGAACCATACTCTTTTTGGGATTGTGCCAAACATCTGAGAGCTGGAAGTGAAAGGAGCTTTCCCTGAGAAGGCCTTCAGCAGCAGAAATCCCTTACAGCCCATAACCCTGAGAGACTAGAAAGTGCTAGCACAGGCCCCAAAGAGCATCAAGTGCAAAGGGATGTAGGCAGGGCAGCCAGGGGACACAATGATTCAGATGTCTCTCCTGAAACTTCCACTCTTAGGACTTCCATGGAAGTGCCCGTGGTGAGTGATTAAATGGGCTTTTCTGTTGTACATCCCCTCAGCAGGACAGCTGCGGAAACATACCCTCCCCTCGGTGAAATGAATCATCCCTGGACAGAATGGGTGTAGCTGTTTGTGCATCTCTTATCATACTGAGGATGTGCTAATATCTTGGCCTGTAAACCACAGGACCACCCAAACCTCTAGCAGCTAAGCTGAAATGATTCAGTTATAATTTATCTTGCGACATTTCCTCTGCAGTATATTCACCCTTGAAGGAGATGAAGAAGACACATAAATTTGCCCATTTAATTGAGAAATGAAAGAAGAGGATCAAGATTTTTTTGTAAAAAGCTCTCAGTGAGATTGATAGCACAAGGCATGGTCTCCTAGATGCCATACTCAGAGCAAGATGGAGATGGACAAAAAAATTACACATAGTCACTTGACATGAAAGAAAGATTAAATACTCAAAAATGGGAAGTAGAGAAAAGACCACATGTAGAGCCTGGGAAGAAAAATCAGTCCTGGCAAGAAGGGTTTGCATGTCTAGACTGTTTCCCTGTAGTACAATTTTCCAGACAAGCGAAGTTTGGAGAGTCTAAGTCCTCTTCCTTGTCAGCCAAAAATTTTCTCTTTGGAGATCAGCATACAAATTGGATTAAAGCCTTATGTTTTGGCTGAAGGTATTGACATAACGCCGTGAAGATAAAGTTGTTGGAGAATGTACTGTGAAAAATATCCAAAAAACCAAAAAACTTTCCTTTAAATGTTCATGGTGGTTGCTGTTCACAACTAAGAGTATTTGTAAAAGCCAGAAAAAACTTACAAAATGTTTTATAAGTTCTGAAAAGTTCTCATCATATGCAGTGTTTCTATTTTAATAAACTGCAGCTGCTTGCCAGAAGAAATCTGAACCTATATATTGGACATTACAGTAAAGTGTGTGTTCAAAAGGTAAAAAAAGTGTTTGCATAACAACTAACAACAGGTATTTCTCTTAGATTCAGCAGATCACACATTCAGTTAAAAGTGAATGTGATAAACTGGAATAACCAATATCTTCTGAAAATTCGCAGCAATATTAATTACATTGCCTGTCAGTACTGGGGATTTTACACCAACAGCTGAAAGATATGTTTGATGTACATCATGCTATATTTGAAGAAAACCAGACGGTCTCTTTCACCTTAATGAAGAAAAAAGCTAGAACTCAGAAGACTAAAGAGGTACTCCATATTCCTACTGCCAAAGAATATGTGAGGACTGTTAACATGAATTACATGATTCCTAAGGGAAATCAAGAGTCATGAGAGTTTGATATGTAGCAAGGAGCATGACTTATTATTTTCCTGCTTATCACAAGACGGATTTTATAAATACACTGGTCTAATATATCATAGGAGTAGGGTTTACAGGACTTCTGACTACTCAGAGAAACAGTTAAAGTCAATAGAAGCTGCAGGGATTCTGCTTCCTGAAAATCAGTCTCTGGTAATGTAAACCTCTATCAAGCATACATCGATAACAGGTTTTTTGAGCATACAACATAAATGTCTTTTAGAAGATGGCAAATTTAAACATACTCAACACATGTAGAAACCTTTTCCTCCCCTTTAAATGTAAGCACAAATACATTTTAAACCTAAATGCTTGTAGAATACCAGTTTTTTCCAGGTATCCAGCAAAAGCTGCATATTTTCAACAAAAAGCAGGGATCAAGTTAAAAAGTAGAAGACAGTTTTTGGACAAGGATGTGCTGAAAACTTATTATCTTGCTAAAACAAAGGGAAATCTCCTATGTCAATAGCTTCCAAGAGATGTCCAGGACCGATAGGTTAGAGCACCCTCATAGTCTCTCTAGGAAGGCTCAGCTGTAACCATTTTCCTTTTGGCTGCACCCATCTACCCCTACTCTTTAAAGTACTTGCTGAGTACCGGAAAATTTTGAAAGCCCTGCTCCTGCAATACACTGGGCTGTGCCCAATCCACATTTAGTGTTCACCCAGATTTGTACCTTGCACCTGCCTGGTGCTGTCCTTGGCTTTCCCTCAATCTACTGAGAGCTGCCTGTGCACAGCAGGAGGAAGCATAAACCCAAAGCATATGATGAAGAGCTTCAACAGATGGGCTTTGGCAGATCTTTCTGCACTACTGTAAGGTTTTACCCACAGATGACTGCTCTGTTTTTTGCTTTAACTTACAGCCCTATGGAAGATTTAGCAAAAAGCAGCATGTGTCCACATCTGAGCCTGTGTCATCTTAACTATTTTCTCTGATGGCTATGCTAAGGCATGGGGCATATATCTCCTTTATCAACACCTTCATTCCTAAATCTTTTTCAGGAATAGAAGACATGCAGAGAGGTGTGATAATATACAAATTTTCATAATAAGAATGGTCAGAGCTTGTCTGACTAAGACCCAAGATTAAGCTCAGCTTCTGTATAATACCAGATATATTTGCTACCTGGGGATTACAGGTATATGCTGCAGTGGCAATGGGACAGATATCTGTGATTTAATAGCTGTTTTGCAAATATTCTGTGCAGTTCATTGACTCAAAAAAGTAAATGTGGTTACCAAGAGGGAGAGGAACAGTAATGGAGAGAGACACACACACATAAAGAGGGAGAGAAGGAGGCAAAAGAGGAGGAGAGGATATGGGAAGAAAAAGAAAGGGACATATTCCATGAGTACATATACAACAATGTGATATTATGTAATGGCTTCAATAACTTCCCTACTCAGGAGATTAGGAATGTCATTATTGTTTTCCTAACCTGAAAGTATTTTTCTGGGAAAAGGTGAAAAAGGCATTCTTTTTAAAGTTGTTGTGGGACTCTTAGGTGGCATTGTCTTCAGCTATATGTATATCCATGTATCTATGTAAACTGTAATTTACAAAACCATTCTGCTCCCCAGCCTATTGGCGGACGGAAGGAAGGAAAGAGATCAGTGGAGAGGAATGTTTAAATAGCTTCTTGTTTTTTACTCACAGGACAGATGGCGTGCAAACGAATGAAAAATAAAACCCCAACTGACATTGTATAGCAGCTGTGCACAGTGTCAGCTATAGGAAGAAGTGTGGTCCACTGGATACACTGTTTTACTAGAAATGAGGGAGCTTGGGTTCTCAACCTAGTTTGCTACATTCAAAATGACTGTACTTCTGTAAAAGAATTCTCTGTTTCCCAGGTTCTTCATTATCAGAATAGAAATATTTAGATGCTTTATGAAGAAAAGGACAGAGTAAATGAGAAGACCTTAGTTTTTGTGGGAAAGCAAATTGAAAGCACAAAACATTTTACTTAACTAATGAGTGGTGGCATTATGAAGAAAACTGGGCTTTTTCACTGCTGTACCATTTTTTTTCCAGTAATCAGTATTAACATGTTATGATACACTTAATAAGCTCAAGATTTTGCTCACAGCTCCAACAATATGAGGTTCATAAAGTTCAAGGTACTACCCTGGAAAAAAGGAGCCATGAATTACTCATTTCCTGGGGAGTTTTACATTTTTTTCCAGAAGGCCAAGTTTTTCCTCTTCTGGTCGGCAAATATGTTCTGTAATGTGGTTGACTCTCTTCTCTTTCTAGTTGCTGTGCTGATATTGTTCCCTTCAGACTATGTCATTACATGCCAATCTTTTCAGCTTTAAAGATGTTTTGGTTTGCTTGTTTGTATGCTTTTCCTTCTTAGTCATTGTCCTTAGGCCCCAGGAAGAGTTCACATAATAACTGTGATCACAGCTTAGCCTAAGAAGACACAGCTACTTCCCTACTTGAGTCAGAACACAAAATTGATGTGACTCATGTTGGTTTCCAAAGATTCAGGGCTTGCTGCAGGGAATAACTTGATTTTGATTGGGAAGATTCTTTTTCATACCTGCTATACTCTTTCCTACCAAGC